ACCGAATCGGAGAGCCACTCATAATAATTGACTACATCCACTAGTTTCTGTGGCCTGAAAACCATTACACCGAATTTTGGAGTCCTCTAGATGCACTATTACCCATGATTGATTACCGATACACAATGGACCATTACACAAGATGTAAATGCGTACATTATTAGCGATTAATGCGTGCTTCGCGCGAAACGCAATTCCACGCACTTTAATACAATGGCGATACAATGGGCATGTTGCAAACATTTTTGGATGAGCCAGAACTTTTAGTTCCTTGGTGCAAAAGATTTAATGCATTTATAAGGCTCACATCGCAGTCGTCTACTTATTCTAATATGACTGAAATGAATGTTAGTTCTGCCTGAAAATATTTTGGAACCTGGCAAGTTTTAGTGAACGCTTAGTTACCCGTTAGTTTGTGAGCGCCGAGAGAGCCTTCAAATACTGGCTACACATCCCGCTTTGTCGAGAGGGTAGTTTAGTTGCGTAACCCAACCGAACGCTTTGAACGCCTTCAAATCCGACGATACCTCCCGCTTTGCTGAGAGGTTAGTTTAGTTGCGTGACCCAACCGAACGCTTTGAACGCCTTCAAATCTGGCGATACTTCTCGCTTCTCCGGGAGGTTAGTTTAGTTGCGTGACCCAACTGAACGCTTTGAACGCCTTCAAATCTGGCGATACTTCTCGCCTCTCCGGGAGGTTAGTTTAGTTGCGTGACCCAACTGAACGCAACACATTGTTAGTTTACTCATTTTACTGCGCGCAGCTAGCTGAGCAAAAAGAAGAGTCACTCCTCAGAGAAAATGACTCAAAAATCACGAGGAGCGCATCGGGATTATCTGAAACACACTCTTAACTTCACAATCTGCGTGAGAAATGTGAGCTGTTTTAAGCTTCTCTCTTAAAAAACACTACTACGGCATAAGTGAATTGGCGGCTCATTTATTTTTCCGGGAAGCACCGCATTCTTGAATGAAAAACTTATCAAGAATAGATGCTTTTTCTCTCATCTCTTTCGTTGCCTTTATTTGTATCGAGCCGAGGCGTATAGCGAAGTGTGAATGATCGACATTCGACATTCCTCCATTCGAAGCTATGGTAAAGAATCGATCATTAAGGTGTTCGTTACAAACATCCTGTTTATCGTTCCTTTACAATAGGTTTAAATGGCAGATCAATCGATATATCGCAAAGCACGCCACGTATCGTACCACATGCTGACTTGAGGTTTTCTAGCCGCTGGCGCTGTGACGCACTTTCTCGCTCGCTTGGACACCTCGGCCATGTCTACAGCAGTGGCGAGGCGTGAATGATCAATTGTCGATATTTCTGTATTTGAAACTATTGTAAAGAATCGATTATCAAGGTGCTCGTTGCGAACACCCTGTAAATCGATCCTTTTCCATAGTTTCAAATGGCATATCAATCGATATATCGCAAATCACGGTCTACAAAGCAGTCATAAGGCTTCAAGAGGATCTCCGAGACTTAACGAGACGACCGTTGCGCAACTGGGAGCAACGAGAATCACCAAGTCTGGATATAGCGAACAACTACGCAGCCGCGACCCAGACGAGAAATATTCTGCCGTGCTAAGGAAGAACGCCGTATGAACATTCGAGAGTTGCCAAATTTCCCCGGATAAAACGTGGATTTTTGACGAAATCAATGCTTATTTCTACTTGAAATTTTCAGATATTATAGATTAAATTGCGTACAAAATTATCTGAAAAGTTTGGAAAATAATATTCGCAATTCCCCGGATAAATCGGTTGTTAAAGAAGGAAACTTGGCAACGTCTAACGGCTCATGCGGCGTTATTCCTTAGGAGGGCAGTATTACTTCAATCCATGCATCCAATCATTCGCAATGCACCATCGCTGCACTATGCTCGATGCAAACAGCAAGCATTCAACAGTTTTTAGCGTTGATGATTTGAAATATGGAGAACTGGTGACGTATCGATAGATCGACAAAGCGCTGAAATCACAGCTAATGTATCGAGATTTATGTGTGTTCTTCGACTTGATAACTATTTGGGCTCGTAAGTATGTTGTGTATACTGCAAAATCGAAGGCGTACTCCAGATGGATGATACCTCTGGTTGGTTAACAACATCGTTGATCGGTTCAATCAGCGATGGTGCTCCACGATAGGTTTGTTGCCTATGTGGCGAAATCGAAGGCGAACCTTAACTGGGCGATGTGCGGCAACACGTATTGTTCATATGTTGCGATGTACTTACCGCTTTCTAAGGATCACTAAAAAAAGTCTCTCGGTTCCAGAATCCAGACTCTTTTTGACAAGAAAAAATAACCTTGATTCGATCGAACTTTTGCTTGAATCGAGAGCCAAGCCTCTTAATTTAAGCGGGATTCCTTTTGATTCAAGCAAAAATCCTATTGAACCAGATTATTTATTTATTTTTTTTTTTTGGTAATTTTTCAAGAGTCTGAACTCTACATCCAAGAAACTTTTTTTTTTTTTAAGGTGCAATATAGAAATCTTAGAAAAACTGCAGAGCCATAATGCGAGCAACGTTATGCAGCCCATTGTTGCGTGCTTTGCGACATATCGATTGATCTGTCATTTAAATCTATGGAAAAGGATCGATAAACAGGGTGCTCACAACAAACAACTTAATAATCGATTCTTTATCATAGCCTCCAATGGGGAAACATCGATAATCGATCATTCACGCCTTGCCACTAGAAAAATCCCTTCGCACTTCCGAGCAGCAATGAAGAAAACAGGAGTAACAAAATAATTAGCCTTTTTGGTAGGAAGTTGGGTAAAAATCAGAAATTGACGTAAAATGCGACTCCTTTTTAAACTTTGCCTCTGATTTGCATTTCATGCGATTCTTATAATCGATAATCGATTCTTCACCATAACTTCAGATTCAGAAATATCGATTATCGATCATTCTTGCCACTGCTCAAATGTTCACTGGAAAGAAAAACCCATTGGATCTGGAGTCCAGACTCTTGAAAACATTGCCAAAAAAAATACTCTTGATTCAATCGGATATTTGCTTGGATCAAAACGAAATCCGCTTAAATCAAGAGGCTTGGTTCTTGATTTAAGCTAGATTCTGATTGAATCAAGAGTACTTTTTCTTGTCGATGTTTTTAAGAGTCCGGACTCTAGATCCGATGTGTTTTTTTCCCAGTGTTCTTGCCGCACGGCAACGCAGCGGGAGTATTTAGTAGGATTTATTGAAGAAGATCCGGAGACCCTGACATTTAAATAACAATTACAACTAAGAGAACGGTTCTAGTGGATGCAGCTCGGACCCGGGAGCAACCTGTTATTAATATGGACGCATTCATGCTAAAAGGAACTATGTGCATAGGGTTTGCGCGTGACGTAGTTCCTTTCAGCATAAATGTGTCCATATAACCTTTGCCGGTCCGAGCATCGCATTGTTGTTGATTTATCGGCCGTGGCCGGGGGAGGGGGGCGGCACGCGGCGCCCCTTAAACGCCTGCCGATCGTTAACGTTAATTCGCGGGAAAATTTGTATCGGCGGCGGCGCGCGCCACGCCTGCCCGTGATTGCCCGTAAAAGCCGAGCTTTGACCCAAAAAAGTCAGGCGTTTATTGATGCATGTGTGCATCTTTGCAATCATGAATGAGCGCCGGGGCCACGGTTGCCGCCGAGGGCACGACACGCTCATTGTTGGCCCACGGATCGAATTGGATGGCACCCGACGTAAAAGACGAAGAGGCAGATATTCCATTTATCCTGCTCTCTAGGAGTCCTCTTTCAAGGTCTGGATACACGATTAAATTCCGAACCAATTCTGATCAAAGAAGACCACTTGGATTGCATTTTGCAAAAAGGAATCACTAGCATTGCAATGTTGCTAAGATTGTGCCACTTCTTATGTCTTGGAGGAAAAACCCGATTATCCATTAATAGTTTCTATTTTACTCGCCGCTAAAAACTGTAAATTTAAGACAAAAATTACCATCTAAATTTCATAGTTTTTCACGATTTCCGCAATTTTATTGCAAAAGATGAAGTTGCACAATCTTAGCATCATTGCAATGCTAGTGGTTCCTTTTTGCAAAATGCAATCCATTTGATGACTGGTAGTCACTATGCAACAGTCCTCTTTGATCAAAATTTGACGGCCCGTCAAAACATCGTATATATCAGCCGGCATATCAAACTTTTGATGAATTGATCAAAATCTTGTTAACTTTTTGATCAATTGATCAACATTTTGTTAAATTTGTGGATATTTTTAGGATGTGTACCAAAGTCGCATTACTTCACAGGAGTTGAAAATCTGTAAACCTTCGAACAAAAGAAAAACTAAAAAAAAATGTATCAGCCTCCACAGTAAACACCTACAACATATTACACCGATTAGAACACACCTACAACTTGCACCCCTGATTTGAAAAATTGCCGAGAAATTACATACATTACATTAAGCTGCTTTTATAGCGCAGCCTCGCGCTCTGCGACGCCTAATCGCCATTGCCCCCTATCCTCCCAGAACCATCAGGCAATTGGCACCTTCTGATCTCCTCCTCCACACTGAAAAAAATTATCGGCGTTTTTACCACTTTCATCTCACTTTATTTTTACCAATTATTGGTAATTTTACCAAGGCAGACTGGTAAGCTTACCTAAAAACTGGTAATTTTACAGTTTTTTTTCAGGTAAGAATACCACTTTTATTGGTAATCAATTCCCGGTAACTTTGCCATTTTATCTCGGTAATTCTACCACAGTAGATAAAAAATATTGGCGTTTTTACCAAGGTCCAGTAAAATTACCGAGAAAGAGATTTCTCGGTAAAATCACCAATTCTATAAATGGTAATTTTACCAAGAAAAAACTGGGATCAAATAGAACCCTGAATTCTTGGTAATTTTACTCTTTTCTTAGTAAAAACACCGAGATTTTTTTTTCAGTGCACCCCTTGTCGCCACCCTTTCACAGCAAATTCTTGGTTGAAAATAGGAAGAAATGGGGGAGTACTTACTTGTATGGATGTGTCCGTTGGTTTTGGGTTTTCCGTTGAGGTGCCCGTGGTGCCTGGTGGCCGTGCGCATAGTCTTGCGAGGCTGCTTCCCGCCACTCCCGGTCCCTCTTGCCGGTCCACTCCGCCCGGTTAAATGTCGCCATGAACAGCAACAACACTCATTGCTGTCCCGGTCCCGGACCATTAGCCCCTCCCAAGCAACCTCAGCCTCTGAAAAAATACAAAAAAAACCACCAAAAATTAATTCACAGCCACAGGAAAAATTACATCAAATGCACGTATTTCTGCTAAACGAACGGAGAAGAATCCTCCGTGCACAGGACCTGAAGTTGAGGTCATATGGATCTCTGAAGTTTTCGGATCACGCATCCGAAAACTTGAGGTCCACCTGCCGAAGTTCGGGTCAGACTTCTGAAACATCCTATCTCCAAAACGTTCCTTATAAAAAAACATTTTAGCGAAGGAACTTTGGCAACTTTCGAATGTTCATACGGCGTTCTTCCTTAGCACGGCAGAATTAGCTTTAAATAGTCCTCTCTATCCCGTATTGTTATGCCTCATTCGAGAGGGTTCACTTTGAAAGGGTCCTAACCGCATTCTCTTGTAGGTAGGGCCGTTCATAAATTACGTCACCCAGGTGGGGGTAAACGTGGTGAAAAGTTGAGATTTTTAGCCTGACGTGACAACCAAACATCCAACATTATTAACCGACTTGCCATGAAGTCTATGATTAAGCCTCGATTTCCTGTGAGAACATAAAACCGACTCATATACCCCCAACGAGAGTCAGTATACGATCTGAATCGCAAAGTTCTCATCATGCTGCGGGAAGTCTACGAAGAAAAGCGCGCAACTATTTTTAAAGTTCAGAATCAGGGTTCCTCAAGATCCTGACAGCTTCCTGCTCCCCCGGATAAGAAATGTTGTCTTACGTAAGCAAATTTATTAATCTTAATGCACACTTGGAAAATACAATCTTTTTGGAGACCCGCACAAGAAAACACATCAAAAAACACTTTACTCACTTGCGCGTAAAATTTTTTCGCGCAAGTGAGTGAGGTGTTTTTTGACTGGGAAAATAAGCTACGCCGAGATAAAAAAAAATCAAGTAGAAACATTATGTTGTATTACTCTTAATTTGTTCTCATCGCATCTTACATCATCGTTTGGCTTGCATTTACAATCATCGAGGACTTATTCGATACGGCTGTGAGCACTGAGTAAAGGGAATCCTTTAGTTATCAGAAATGTTTTAGGTGTCGTGGTATTACAAGATTTGTAATGCATGATGATTCGTGTATGTGATCATAGGTACCTGCACATGCGTCTCCTATTTAAGTTTTCACGTGAATATTTGAAAGTTCCTCAGACATTCAACTGTCTTCTGAGCGTCTACTTGTATAAAATAAAAAAATAATCATTTAATTATAATTTCCCTCCATTCTTCCATCCGTTTTAGACTGAGGCTTTATTCTGAGTCAATTTCCCTCGGTTCTCAGAGTGACATCCACGTCGAGGTCGTAGGATTCTACATGCGATCTCACAATAGATTCGATCAAAGTTCGTAACTTTTGGAGGCGGATGCCTGCAGACACGGTTCCCGGTGTCGCATCTCCATCTCGCTCATGCACCTCCGCGATCCAAGCCCGTCTTTCGTTCCAGCGAAATAATTGCGAGGTACTTCTGAGATCCTCGGTTGGCACTTGGGATATCACTTTTTTTTATCGCTGTCGTAAAATCGCGTGATGAGCTTGCGATGAAACACCCAAATCTAGAAGAGCCAGCTCGTCAGTGTGTTAGGTCGACTAGAACAAAGTGCAGCCGCGATGAATTTTGTTTTCTTACTCGTGGCTTTGACCGTGGTGGCCCTAAAAGTCGACGCTTTGGACGTCGACGCAGCTGTCCAGTTGAACCCTGGCCATTCGGCCAAGCGACTGTCCAAAATCTCACCAGCTTCGTCGAATGCAAACGTCCTCAGCCGTCAACGCAGGCAGACTCAAGGCCCGAGCCTGGACGCAGTGATGGCGATCATCAGGTCCATTCTTGAGGCTGTGTGGCCTAGACTGGGCCCCATTTGGGAAAGATTAGGTCCGATCCTACGGAATTTGGGACCTACGCTCGTACAGCTTTTCTCGAACGTGGGACCATCTCAAGCTCAAGCTCAACCGGCCGTCAAACCAACTCTGTGGGGATAGTGAAGAAAATAATACTTTTCTTTGTTTCTACACGCGCACTCGGCTATGTGAACTGTACCCTTTTCTGGACACAAACCTCAAAGGAAGTAGAGATTTATCAATGTTGAAATGAATTTAAGTATGAAGACTTGTGAAAGATTCAAAATTTTAGTGACCGATGGAAATTTAAAAGTTTGTTTTTATAATACTAATTTTTACCGGCAACTAAAAAATCAGTATTTAAGGTTATCGTATTCGTCCGCTTATAAATTACAGTGCTTTTTTTAAGTGCGTCTCCTGATTAAAAAAATATTTTTGAAATCATTACCGTGTATCAACTGCGATATGCATATTTTTGAACGACGTTGCTCATTGTTAAAACTCATCGAGGTACCAGTTGGTTAATACTAGAATTCGGGCTATAGAATATAGATATAATATTCGGGGTATGAGTGCGATTCCGTCTCCGATTTAATACCGCGAATTCGCGAATTTTGTGGGGCGGTGTTGTCGTAAGGTTCTCTCATTCGCACTAAACTCGTGAGCTTAGCATTTTTTCGCGTCCAATAGAGACTTTGGCACAAATTTTTAAAAATTTTAGGTCTTTATTCAAAGATAAAACTTCTGTCCTTGCAGACGTAAGAATGAAAAACTGCGGAGCCTGGTTTTCAGTTACACCGAGCCGGGTGTTGATGATTTTTTCCAAGCGTGTAAAATAAAAAGAGGGCAGAGAGGAAGACCGCACAAAACATTCCACCTAATTTCGCGAGATGACGCGGTCGATTTTTCAAGCTAAGACTAAGGGCCCACCGACTGTGATGTGAGAGATCCGCGTGCAAAAAATTGTGGTAGCCATGATCTTTTACCCGGCTTCGACAGTAGCCGAGGTCGTGTCCAACGTAACACCTATGCTGTTATAGATGCCCGAGAGTCAATCGAAAATATATTAACCAATGCTCCAATTTTGAGCTTAGCTTCTTGTTCGAACTGAAAAAACCGTCCAATAAAAAATTGTCAAAAATTCGTCGATTTTCCTTATTTCTTTCATACATTGTAGGACCAATGGCCGCAGGAAAATCGTAGGACCTGCGGTCCTGATTCGTTAGTTTGGTTGAAAACTTGGCATTGAACGAAATGGATCGATTTTGATAGTAGTTCGGTGTATCGTTTGGTTCAAAACAATAGAACATAACCTCAAACACAAATTTTAGGATTTAATTTAGAAAAGCTGAAAAAGAGGAAATTTCACTTATCGTTGCCATGCAATACTCATAAAAATTACAGAACTACATCGCTACCTACACCGCTTACTGAGTGCGGCAAGAATGATGATAAATTGATTTTTCAAAATTGCTAGTTACGTTATTTTACCTTATAACTACAAATATTAAAATGATTTTTGACAAGATCAACCTTGCAAATTTCCCGATATATTTCATGAGTATTGCAAAACACCTACTATTACTACTCAGACCTTTTCGTAATCTTCCCTCGCCCATATCAAGAGTATTATCTGAGAAACGCATGTAAAAATGTGTGCAACATTGATCCTTTTTAGAATAAATATCCTACGATTGAGTCTCTTGTTCTCTAAAATTCACCATGCGGATGTGTGTATTGTAGTAGGGTCCCTCGTCGCTCTCTCAAGATTTATCGCCCAATAATAATGATGGCCGAAACAGAAAATCTACCAAATAAGCATACGGAGTTGAGAAATGGCATCCATAATTTAAGCAAGTTATTTGATGTTCGCTCTCCCAGGGAGATTTCGACGACGGGGAACAACTGTAATCCATTGTGAGCGCCGACATCCGCGCGCCGATGTTTACAGCGCCATGCGCCAACACCAAACCACTCAAGCTGCGAAGGTTTTTTCAGAAGATTTACTAGAATGGGAGGGAAAAATGTTAAATGGGCATAGTTTCAAACCTCTACTAATAAGCATGTGATAAATTCTTCGAGCGGTCGGATACTAGTGAGATTAGTGATTCGGATATCGATGTTATTGACTCACGCATTAAATAAACATGTCACCCTCGCACGGTGGGCTAAACTATTTCTGTTTTCGAGCCCGGAGATCACACACAAAAATGAAGGATATCGAAACGTATTGTAAAATGTGGCACCTGTCCTCACTTTACTGTCCTAACCTTACACTCGGCTGATGTGACGTCATGATGCACACACAAATGTATGGGATACTGCACTTTACGGCTCCTTTATGACACGTTAAGGCATACTAAATTGGACCACATAATTCAAAAAAATATTTATACATGGATTGCATTTAGCAAAAAGGAACCAGCACAATTACAGTATTTTTAAAATTGCGCGACCTGTTCCTTTCTTTTAAAAATACTAAATGTATGCACATTATCAAAGTTTACACAATTATTTTCCTTCAAAATTAACACATTTTTGGTGAAAAAGCGGAAACTATTTCCTCCTATGGAAATTTTCTTAGATAAAGATGGATATGCACGATTCTGAAAACATTGTAATCGCGCTGGTTCCCTTTTGCTAGATGCAATCCATATATAAATGAATTAGAATGGTATGCATATTCGTAATCTACGACCCATGATCGATGCTTATTAAATGGTCTTTGGTCCAGGTCTGACATCAGGGGAGAACGCAATAGTGCAGTGTATTTCCTTCAGAAAACACACTTAAAGAAAAACTATCTCTGGCTCAATTAAGAAGCAGCTTATGTGCCTCCGGTATTTCTCCACGAAAATAAGTTCTTTCATGTGTGAGCCAGCGATAGTAAAATAGTAGTCTAGCATAAGTAAGAACTGATCATAACGGCTCTTACCCATAAGCCAGGCAAATGTAACGTTCTTTTTGTTGATTATCGCAGAGTATTTGTATAAAAGATAAAATCTAAAAATACGGCAAATGTGCAATACGGGATGGCTAGGATATTTTATCTCTTCTCTCCGATCATGTGTGCTTCTCGATAAATGCGCTAAAATCTGCAGGTAGGTAGGCGATTTAACGACCCAATGCAGGACAATGCAATGGGTGGCTCGAGGT